CTTTCATCCAAATGTCACAATCAATCTTAAGTTCTTGGAATAAGATACAAGATTCAACTCCAACGTTAAATAGGTTAAGAATAAAAATAACCCCCCCCCCACACACACACACACAAACAAATCAAATTAATGGCAACGTAGAGAATCACTGTTAAACTCAAATAACACCTCGGACCCATATAAAATTTCAGGAAAACTGCAGAAAAGAGCTCGAGGAAAGTGTATTAAAATATTTCATTTGAGTTTCCAAAGTAGATAGAAATTATTAATTTATACAGAAAAAATTACAAATCCTGTCGTGTTTAAAATTAAAGTGCAGATGACCAAAGTTGGCATATAAGCCTTTTATAGCCTATTTATTCAGATGTCGTTAATAGCATTCGATTCTACTGATTTGAAATAATATTTTAATACCAAGCATCCTTTGTTTAATTATGTTCCCCAAACGAAGTTGGGGAACATATTGTTTTTACTCTGTTTCTTATTATTATGTTCCCCAAACGAAGTTGGGGAACATATTGTTTTTACTCTGTTTCTTATTATTATTATGTTCCCCAAACGAAGTTGGGGAACATATTGTTTTTACTCTGTTTCTTATTATTATTATGTTCCCCAAACGGAGTTTGGGAACATATTGTTTTTACTCTGTTTCTTATTATTATTATTTTTTTTCTTATTTGTTCTCCGGTACTTTTTTGTCCGCGAGTGTTCTCGGAAACTGTTCACCCAATTGAGCTAAAACCTTTTTAGGGTTAATAGGTGTGTAGTGTAGGTGTGCGGAACGAAGGTCATTTTGCTCGCATGTGCCTGCACGTGCGTGCGCGTGATATGAGTGAATTGACTGATATACTTAATATAGCTATAACTTTTACATTTTTTGATGAAATGCTTCGAAACTCATTACATAAGGATATATTAATTGTGTTAATAATATGACACTGTCAAATTAGCGCGAACTCACGCGCATGCACGTGCGCTGTGCTCTGATTGGCTGAAACAAAAATCTCAGTATCTCTTTTGTTTTTCGATGAAATGCTTTGAAATTTTAAACATTGTCATGAATTAGGATATTCTACAATATAATATGAAAAATATTTCATGAAATCACGCGCATGCACGTGCGCTGCAATCTGATTGGCTGAAACTTTAAATGGCTATATCTCCTTTGTTTTTTGACGAAATGCTTTGAAATTTGAAACATTTTCATGCATTAAGATATCCTGCAATATGATACACAAAAAATTTCAAGAAATCACGCGCATGCACTTGTGCTGCAATCTGATTGGCTGAAACTTTAAATGGCTATATCTCCTTTGTTTTTTGACGAAATGCTTTGAAATTTAAAACATAGTCATGCTTTAGGATAACCTACAATATAATATAAAGCAATTGTCGAGAAAACACGCGCATGCACGTGCTCTGCAATCTGATTGGCTTAAACTTAAAATGGCTATAACTCCCTTGTTTTTCAACCAAACAGGATGGGATTTAGAACATAGATAGATATAAGGGCCTCCTACAAGAAGGTATGGTCATCATACATGTGCACGCACGTGCGTGCATATGGAACGAGTGAAATTAAAAATACACTTGAATGAGTGATTTTTAATACTTTTGGACTAAATGGTTTACAATAAAGTGTATTTAAATATATCAAAAGTGTAGACAAAATTATATGATCATTACGCACGTGCATTCACAATCGCACGGGTGCAATGTTAAAATTTGAATATAATTTGTATCCTTTTGGGAAAATGTTGTTAAAGTCAAAAATGCACAGATTTTATCTTATTTAATGAAGGCTTACAGGGAATATGGCACCAAAAGGGAGTTGGAGAGCGTTTGGGGAACATCTGTAACGGTTCCCGTTACAATTAGCACTAGTTTTTTTTCTTATTTCTTCTCCTGTACTTTTTTGTCCGCGAGTGTTCTCAGAAACTGTTCACCCAACTGAGCTAAAACCTTTTTAGGGTTAATAGGTGTGTAGTGTAGGTGTGCGGAACGAAGGTCATTTTGCGCGCATACGCATGCACGTGCGTGCGCGTGAAATGAGTGAATTGACTGATATATTTAATATGGATGTAACTTCTATATTTTTTGATGAAATGTTTTGAAACTCATTATATAAGGATATATAAGATGTATAGATATGATTACATGGTCAAATTTGCATGAACTCACGCGCATGCACGTGCACTTTGCTCTGATTGCCTGAAACAAAATCCTCAATATCTTTTTTGTTTTTCGATGAAATGCTTTGAAATTTATAACATAGTCATACATTAGGATTCCCTACAATATGATATATAAAAATTTTCGTGAAATCACGTGCATGCACGTGCGCTGCAATCTGATTGGCTGAAACTTTAAATGACTATAACTCCCTTGGTTTCCAACCAAACATGATGGGATTTAGAACATAGATAGACATAAAGGACTCCTACAATATGGTATGGTCAGCATTTACATGCATGCACGTGCGTGCACGTGCACTTTGCTCTGATTGGCTGAAACAAAAATCTCAATATCTTTTCTGTTTTCTGACAAAATGCTTTGAAATTTAAAACATAGGCATACTTTAAGATGTCCTACAATATGATATATAATAATTGTCATGAAAACACGCGCATGTACGTGCGCTGCAATCTGATTGGCTTAAACTTTAAAATGGCTATAAATCCCTTGTTTTTCAACCAAACAAGATGGGATTAAGAACATAGACAGGCATAATGGACTCCTACAAGAAGGTATGGTCATCATGCACGTGCGTGCACGTGCAGTGAGTAAAATAGTGTAGACAAGATGATATAGTCATTACGCTCATGCAGTGTTGTTTAAGTCTTAAATGCATAGATTCTGCCTATTTTAATGAAACTTACAGGAATATGGCACTAAAAGGGAGTTGGGGAGCGTTTGGGGAACATCTGTAACGGTTCCCGTTACAATTAGCACTAGTTTTTAATGAGATTCATGTTGTTAGATTATCCATATCCTGAGAATATTTCTATTTTGCGTCTTGTTCAATATTATGCGTATACATTTTTCTTTATTGGGATCTTTGAAATCATATTATGTTTCATGAAAGGTTAATTTCTGTTCAAAATTTTGTTATTCTTGTATATGAAATGGGTCGCAAGATATGCGCCTTAAACCTAATCGAAATGAGAAAAGGATCAAATTAGTACATGTAATATTAATTGTAGCTTCACTGTTGTGAAGAATAAATGATTTGTTTGATTGCTTTGTTCTTCTGTAAAAAATAAAAAATGTTAAAACACTGCAGGAGTTTGACTTGCTTGTGTCCAAGGTAAGGTAAAATTAGCTTTGTTTCATAAATAATGAGGGCGAAATGTCATAAATGTCTTTCTGGATCCTGACGTTAATTGCAACATCTGCGTAAGAAATCCTTTTAAATACTTAACGATTTTTAAAAACAGTTTTTCTAACCTTTAAACCTTCATTAATAATTAGCAAGTCTACATAAATCTTTAATCAACCTCTTTGTTTCTAGTAACATAAAATGTCAAGAAAGTAACAATTAATGTTTTTTGCCCAAAGGAATTTCCAAAAACTGGTTTTTGCTAAAGATCAGATGCAGACAAGAAAATAACATTTAGCAATCTGTTTCTTTGGCGTAAAAATGTTCCTTAATAGAGAGCAATTTAAGCACAACAAAAGGATGCCGTTTGGTCAACAATGGAACCGATGAGGACAAATCTTGGGAGAATTATAAGAAAATTACAGTGCCAGATGCTCGTTATGGATTTTCAACAAATGCGTGCGTCCTCTTGAGCGTTTACATTAAATTGTGTTATTTGCAAACGAGCGAGCGAAAGAGATAGAGAGCAAGAAAGAGAGAGACAGAAAGAGAAAGAACGAAAAAGAAATTTACTTTTCTTGTAGAATCGTTAGATGAAGTGCTCTCCGATGTTTCTTCTCCAAATGTTTAACCGACTTGTCAATAACGTCCTTGGCAAGTCCCTCTGAGCTCAGAATTTCACGAACCCTGGACGGCATCATAAAGTCTAGATCAAAGTCCTCTGGTCCTGTGTCCATGGTGCCCTCCCGTTGGAATTTAAGTTTTCCAATCTCTGATTGGTCATTAATCTGGATGTCGTCGTCATAGTAACCACAATCTTCAGGCCAGTTTTCCTCGTCATAACTTTCATTGGCCACAATGAACTGTTTCGGGGCATTGAACATTTCCACAACTTTAACCTTTGCCATTTTCCGGTTTTGGTTAAACAAATTTCTTTTAAAATGGTCATATTTACCATAAGTCTGCATATTGTTTCAAACAAGTTTCATCAACGAAGTGTATGATAAATACCTATACCTAAAAGTCTATCATGCATATTTTTGGATATTGATTTTCAGGTAACTACATGCTACACGGAACAGTTAGAAATCCAAAGCAGAAAGTAATAAATAATAGACAATGCTCGATCCTTCCAAACAGTCATTGCTTTATGATAAATTGAACTCAACATGCAAAGCTTAACGTTGTCAAAGACTGGAGGTCACACCTTAGCACTTCTTTAGTACCAAAGGAGTGACTAAAAGATCAAAGGCGAGAGAAAAGCTTTTTCCTTCCAGAAGGAAAACCATATACATGTACATGTAGGTCTTTTGGCAATACGACTTTTCTGATCCTGTTTTTTAACTGCTTCTAGAAGCTCTTATTCCATACCATACACGATGTATTTGATGACGAAAAATCAACAAAATCACATGCATTGAGTCAAGGGAAACAACATATTGATTGCATGTCATAGTTGAATTAAAGGCATAGTTATAGTTAATTGCAACCTTAAATCAAGAAGCATGTCTTTTAACTTACATGTTCAAAGACATCGTTTGCATTTGCCAAATCAATCATTAATGACTGGGCATTATGGACATCTGGGAATATTAAGATTCGACCAGAAATCATCAAAGACATTTCTGATGAAAATCAGTTTATTTGAAATCAATCAATGCACAAAAGCAAAGCAAAATAACACTTAAATCGACATAAAAGCAAAATGTAATACCACTAAAAGAAACGCAAAGTAATTATACACTAACATGTCTTCTCTGTCTGCAATAGAAAAGGATAGATATCTCGTGTCGTTTAAAAGATGCAGCAAATCTGGGAATCATGATCAGCAATTGATTTTGAATTAAAATATATTTTAATATTTGAGTTGGAATTATGTATGATTTTTTTTTCAAATCTAACTTCAAACACTAAGTCTTTTTCAGATTCATTACCATTTCAATTAATTTAGTACATGTAGTAATTATTTATTATCCCCTCTCAACGGAGTAGGAGGAGATACAGTAGTGCAATTGTGTATCTGGTAGTTTGTGTATGTGTGTTAGTATGTCCAGTGCGAAACGGAAATGATTTAATTTGCATCGGAATCGAAATCAACAGCTGCTTTGATTTACGGCTATGCTCTCATTTTTTATGCTCTTTGCAAGGGGATGCTCCGCTTTGCGTTGCCCTTGTTACTCACGTAAGTAAAGGATTCTGAGCTTCATTTAATAAAACATATCTTGTAGCAAACGTAAGTGCAAAGATCTCAATTAAACTTTCCAGTAAATTAAGTGGGTATAAAAATCTGTAAATGCCAAACTGAAGGCTGCTGCTACTCATATTCATCTTGGTTTATGACTTACTTTAGTGGACAAAAGATACAAATATATCCTTCTTTATGTAATTTTATAGTACTTTTCCATTTAAGAGCATGTCTACGAGAAAACCATGCAAGAGGTTATGGGAGCGAGGTTCTCAGATCAACTTCATGTTTTGTATGTAAATTTCTTCTATAATATGAAATATTTTGCCACAAAATTTTTTTCAGTGTGGTCTCACTTAAGGGGGTAAATCGACATTGTTACTAAAAATAGAATTCTTGGTCCTTACGCAGGGTGAAAACAGGAATTTTATAGGATTTTAAATTTAAAAATTCAGCATTTTACTTGATAATGATATAAAATATCCAAATATGGCTGAAAGTCACAAGACACACTTGTTTCAGAAAAATTTTCAGAATCACAAACTGTGCCCTCGTTTAAGTGCAAAAAGGTCACAAATCTGGCATATTTCCAGATTTTTGAAAACTGGTGAAAATATTCATTTTTCAAAAACCTATAACTCAGAAAGTAACGCTTAGAATCAACTCAATCTCATACCAATTATTAGACAACATGTCTGTCTACATTATATAAAAAATCTGTCTTTGGACTCTCAAATATTTTGCTGTACTTTTTACTTAAAGTTGGACATTTTTTGTGAATTTTCAAATTTTGTCATCCCTGAACTTCAGCAAGGAGTTATTTGCTGATTTAAATATTTTCAAGAATTCAAATTTTGCTGTTGAAAAATACCAGTATATTGAAAATTTTTGTTTTCAATCAATAATTATTTTTTAAGGGGTTAAATGGGGTTAAATTGGGGGGGGGGGGGTTAGCAGAATTGTATTATTTTACTTTTTCTTTGAGCAGGGTGATATTCACATACTGTTTAGTACCTGTTTGTTAATCAGTAGACCAAGTGTGTTCTCTCTTATCTTAAACAAAAAACTTCCTTAATAAATAATAAACAAAGTACACTGTTATCTACTAATAAGTAGATGACCCCTTTTAATTTGGAGTTCACAAGGTCAAAGGTCAAGGGTTATAATTCTCGATATACCAGTATGTAGATTTTAATCATTCAAAATCGTGAGGACCCATTGTTTGACAGACATGAAATTTAGTACATTGGTTTCTTGAGGACCCCTTTAGATTTTGAGGTCACAATGTTAAAGGTCAAGGGTCAAACTGAACAAAAAGGAATATCAGAGCTATTTTCTTGACAGATATATTGTAATGGCAACAACCTCAAAATGAATGAACACAAAGTTTTAAAAATCTACAAATTAGGACATTAATTATTTTATAATTTTTAATTTTATTGCATATTAAAATTTTAATATTACTCAATAACTAAGTACATTCAACAACAAATAAATTACAATGCTTGACTGCTTCCTGATATTTTATATTCACTTCCAAAATTAAAATGACCTTGAAATTTTGTATGCTTGAAAAAAAATCCACTTGCTTAAGTATACATCATGGTTCTAAATTAGGGTAAGATTTAAAAGAAAAAATCAAGGTTTCCCCAAATCATATTCTGAATTACTTGCTATAACTGTATACAGGAAATTAGTCTTTATAATAGTTTTATATTTGGTAAAACTAAAGCACTGCTGACCTTGAACTTTGATCTTTTCTAAGATAACAAACACTTAAAATTTACTCTGAATTTCTGTGTATTCCTGCAAGTGAACCCTGATACATATTAAATATCATTTGGGTTGATCTTGAGGTCTCAATCTTTCAAAATCTATAAGGTGTATCCAAACTATTTTGTTCAGTATGACCCCATTTTCTTCCTATGTATCATCCAATAACTTCTGGAGAAAATTTAACAAGCACTGAAATTTCCACTTCTGGTTTAAAGAACAACTGGACTGTCTCCAAATACACAAGAGTAGTACTCAAAGCAGGTACCTGTGAAAAAACACAGTTTTCAAATTAAATTGAAATAAACCATACTAGACATATTCAAAGATTTTTAAAATGAATGTCATGTTTATGATAATGATACATTTAAATTAATCAATTGAAGAAAATGTCATCAAATGATTTAGGTAAGATTCTTCACAAATTCTTCTGGCTTTCTTTGAAGAAAACAAGAGCTTCATATATCCTTGAAGTAAAGTAATAGAGTAGGGAAAAATGCATGTGGCAAATTGACAGACAGACAAGGCAATTCCTTTCCATGTACTATAGTATACAGTTATGAAATGGGTATGAGGGAAATAGCAAATTTATGATTCCCAGAGGGAGGAAACTATTTCCCAGAGGAAATAATTTTCTGCCGAGGGGAACAATAAATTTGTTATTTCCCGAGTTCCCATTCCATAACTTTTTTATTATACCGAAACAATGATAGGCGATTTAAATTTTTTTAACCAGATATTCCAACATTTAAAAATAAACTGTAGAGGCATAATTACAAATGCATGCGGTTTAACACAATGTATGATAAGTGAAGCATCGTGTCCTTAAACAATTAAATTATTTTTTAAAAAGTATTTTCACTGACATTTCGAAAAATTATCGTTGTCTTCATTTTGGTAGAATTCAAGTATGATTTTGACATCGCACGTCGAAATGTTTTGATGTCATGGCTACATTGCTAATAACATGACATCACAGACTCGAGATTCCTTGAACACTCCACCCACTGAACACTTTGATTGGTTAAAATTACTAATAAATATTCATGAGGGAGTAGTCCAAGGGAGCAACTCTGATTTTCCAGGGAGTAGTCTTCAGATGAGGGCAATAGTCACTTATCAGGGAAATAGAGTTTTATGGTATTAATTTATACAGAGTAATGACAGTAGAGGTATAATAATATAACACATCTTTACCATTTCCTCAGCAGTGATAAGTAGTTGGTAATTCTAATGCTGCATCTGCATTGTCTTTCCTCTTCTTATTTCTGGATTCTGTACACAAAACTACATTGGACACCCTATGTAGTAATTCTTTATAGCTCCACAGCTGAAAATCCCATTGTAAAGCCCAGCCCTAACCAGGGAAATGAATTTGAATAATCTGAAATTGCACGAGAAATATAAGAATGAAAGGAAATATTCTTTACAACGTATAATTTCCCAGACTTATATTTATAATATTTAATTAGTTATGTTTTAAACACAAACTTGTCAAGGAACACATGGTGACCTTTATTTTAAAAGTATGAGATTATGAGATTTTTTATAATCAAGCAGCCACATATAAGGCAATAATGGTGATTTAATTGACAGTGAAGACCCACCTATCCAATTCTTAATGTACCCTATTAGTAAACAGTCTTTGAAAACCCTGGACCTATTCAACTTTTCATCCCCTCTTCATCACCCCACAAAGGCTACTTATGCTATTTATAATTATTTTGCAATATTGTTGAATTTATACAGATATTTTTATTGCTACATGTAAAAGTACCAAACTTGAACAATTGTTGAAATTTCTCTTGACAGGTTTGCTAGGTATATATTCAGGTCCAGTACAATCACTAGATTTAGCTACATAGGTATTTTTTATAGAAAAAATTAATTTGGTAGCTAAATAAAGCTACTTCAGGTAGGTAAATAAAGCTGACTAAGTAGGTATAAATCAGAGAGCAGCCCCCAAGATGCCAAAGTTTTTTGGTAATGTATTTTTACAATAGTATTTGTTTTTAATTTATTTGTACTTAACCTTGTGTTGTACATGTGTTTTTGATTTATTATGTGATGTGTTCATTCTAATAAATCTAAACCGTTTCCTTTTGTCATGTTGTGTATAAATTCAAGCTAGTGGACGTATTTATAGCTATATCTAGTGATTGTACCAGACCTGATAGTGTCTTGTAAAAATCTTCTCTTGTCCATAATCAAGTCCCCATCAAAATTGTTTATTTATTTATATTTTCACCTATCAATAGGCCTTTTTATAAGGTACATAGTAATATAAACCAAGATCCACCTACCTGTTTCTTTTTCAAATTCAAACATTGTTGATTCGGTATCATCACATAACTACATCCGTCTTGCTACCAAATGCTGTCAGAATCATATTCATCAAAATCAGAGCCATAATCCGAAGACTCGTTGACAATTCACGCACTTGAATCTTTTTCTAGGGACGTACAAAACGGTAAACAAAACGTCTCAGGATGCCATAATGTTTACACGTGGTAACGGAGTACTTCGATCCCGATGGTTTTCATAATGTTTTATGCATTTTAAACATAGGCCACTAGTATATACGTAACAAATTACATTCACAGGAGGGACAATTTTCTTCAAATCACACATAATTGATGCCTTAAACGATTAGATGACAGAAATCTGTTTATAAACTTCGTAAACATAATCATTATCTACCTTCTCTACAGAAGAGCGCAACAGGGGAGATAATTCTAACAAAATCTAAATAAATAGTAAAATACGTTTTTTTTTCACAGGAAAAGCAGGGAAAAATTATTTATAGCTTTTATAAGATTAAAAATAATTTTCATTGTTTATATTTGTAAATATTTTACACAAAATTCATTAAAATTACTGTTAAAAGTAAAACTTATAAAATCATGAATTTTTCCCTCATTTGAATTTGGGGTAATTTCATTACGATATAACTTTTCTGTCCTTGAGAGTCCAAAGGTGGATTTTACATATTGTTTGGATAATATCCTAGAGATTCTTAAATGCACAAAATTCTGAAAAAAGAAGCGTTACTTTCTAAGAAATGTATCCCTGAATATTAACAAAAAATGAACCATTATCATTTCTTGGCACCATGCCAATATTTGTGCCCTCGTGACAGCCATCTATATAGGGGTTTTACAAAAAAAAATGATTCCAACTTAATTTTACGACTTAATTCTATGAGAAAACATGGCCCTTTTATTTATATATTGTTTTTTTCTTTTTTACTTTTAACTATTGAAATTGTCATTTTTTCACCAACTTTTTTGCATTTTCCCTTGAATATTGACCAAAATGAATTATTGGCTGTTACTAAAAATAGAAACAACCGATGCAAAAATAAACAACATATTTTTGACTTTCATTGGGTGTCCTTTAAGTTCATAATAAAAATTAGTTTGTTCTTGAGAGTGCCTATCAGAGCATTTTTCTATATATCTGCATGGTTTTCTCGTAGACAGGCTCTTAAGTAGTATCTTCAGTGTGTGTGATCACAGCTTACCTTTTGTTTTTAAGTTTTGGCAAGCGTATTGTTTTAATACATTTGTGTTCATCTTTCTGAAACTGGTGACTGAAAAAAAAAATAAACCAGTTCTAAATATTTGGTGATAAATTGAAGAATTCTCTTATTTGTGAAGCATATTTCTTCCTTTTGAAAATTTTGCCTCTGGACTTGATCATCATCGTCGGATTTCCAGTGTTTTTCCACTATAAATTCCTTTGGAAAAAGTGAGACTGATATTAAAAAGTAATCTTGTCTTAGTTTATGGCCCCAGACCCAGGTGATTGGTGATGAGTAAAAACACAAATGGGTATCCGACGGATGGTTTATAATATGAATGAACGAATGGACCGGATGGTGAAACTACGTGAAGTTGAAAATACACCTACCATTTGGCACCAGTCAGGCTAACTGAAAACTTTTCTTTGGGTTGCTGAAAGTACGCTAAATCTATTATCCGGTCCAATGTCCGAAGTCTCCGCTCTCCAAGGAAGGCTTGCATTGGTCATGTCTTGATTTTCATTGATGATTTCATTCAATTCACAGTATCTTCGTTGTATTTGTGACACCCAAACAAAATCTCCTCAGATGCTTGACTGTAAACAGAGTCTGTGTTATTATCCTTTTATGAACGACCAGCAGGGCTACAAATGAAAATTCTTTCGTCTTATTCATTTTCTTGGTTAATTCCCATTTTTATTTTTTAATCTCAAAGATTATAACCAAAGAAAACTAAAGTGTGCCGGAAGCACAGATTTTCCCCCATTGACCGGTACTAGGGTGTGTTTATGGTAGCCTTGCATGACTAGAAATTTTCCGATTAATTGAATGAAATCAATCATAAATAAAAACCTTCATACCTTTCAGTTGGAATTTTGGAAATAATTCCACAGGAATCTTTATTAAAGATGCGGATGAGAAAATTATTTCCGATCTTATTTTGATCAAGTGGTAGATTGAAGGGAAAAACAATGCCATAAAAATCCAACATAAAATAGATTACACGTCTTCTCGGGTGTTTATGAAACCGTGAACAACTCCATAAAAAGGTGTAATCAAAGAAAGGCCTCTGTGTCATTAAGAATTCTATTAGTGTTTAATACCAATTTTATGAACAATATACGGTATCAATTAGACAAATGAAAGATTTATAAGACATTTTTTTTTGGATTGAGAGAGATCTCTTGCAGGCGGCGAATCTTGGATTCAAAGGTTGCAAAACACGCCCCATACAGGATCATGGAAACTGAAAATTCCTTAATTTAACTCATCCAATGTCCAAATGTTTGTTGTCGAAATATTTTACACCTTCAACTTTTTCAATAAACCTTAACAAATTCTACTACAATGTAATTTCAACCAAACTTGCCTAAAATGTTTCTTTAGGTTGAGGGGATTCTTGATTAATATGAGGAGTTTCCGAAAGGGATACCAAACTGTTTGTCAAAAGAATTGACTTCACATATTCCATTTTCACATCCTTATTTTTTTTAATATGTCTTCATTTTATAAATAGATCATATTCTTGCGCAAAAGTAGGATGAAATTAAAAAACAGAAGCAGGCTACTATCAAATAAATTTAGGTTACAGGACTTTCATCAGTCTTGTGAGCATTCCTTAATATCTACGGCTAATAAAAGATCAATATTAGCAAACTCCGTTTATCGTTGGGTTGAATTTTGCCTTAAAGGTTTCAAACAAATAACAAAGGCCGTTGTTTTATACTTTTTTAGACTATGGTTTGTTCCAATTACCTGATCAGAGGACTTGCGACATGCAAAACCGGTCTAAAGAGGGTGCTTACTCTCCCCACGCACTTGCTCTGACCTTATTGTTTCCAGAGATCCATGTTAATGTTGTGTTCACGATTTGTATTGGTTAAGGTAGTCCGATCCTCAGGTTTATAAAATAAGCAGTTCATAGTTAACCTTTCCCGTATAAATTAGGCCCTGCCTCCTTACTTCAACCTTAACTGTGCTGCGTTAAGTAATCAAAAATACTCATGAAAGTGTCTCTAAATCCATAAAGTTATGTAAATTTATCCACAGTATTTCTTTAAAGTTAATGATTAAAATTAATCATATTAAAAAGGGAAAAATGCCAGACATCCAATATTTTTTGCAGAAAAAACAAAATTGGAATATGAGCAATGCATTTTCTAATTGCAAATTGATAAACAAATATATTTTAGGTTAAAAAACGATAGGTATCCAGGCATTCAGAGAAATTGTCATGCTTGTTATACGTGTTTGATACTTTTTGTCTCTATTTCCGCCATGTATTCTATAATACATTGTGTAAAAGGCTGTAACTATCACTGCAAGACACCAAAAATCACTTCTCATTTCATGATATCTTTGCTAATAAGCATTGATATCTTTGGCTGGATTCAATAAAATCTTATCTCTCTAAAATTGTAATTTTTTTTCTCCTTTTATAGGGTTAAATTTGTCAACTCTTACAGGACCTTTTCTAAGATGTCCAAAGACCTTGAAACTCATGAAGATAAATGTAATGAAAATTGTTGCATGAAAAAAAATCATTTTCAAGCTTCATCTTGATGTATTTCAAATAGAATTAAAAAAATTTGAAGTTATCCCTCCTCTCTGAGGATCGAATATCCTTAAGAAGAGTTCTGAGAACACGTTTTTTTTTAATTATTTAAATCGTTTTCAGAACCTCAAATTTTCAAAACTTATTTGCACATCTACAGGACACCAACAATTACATACGTATATAGATAAAAATAAAAAAGATATGGTTTTCGCATGAAATGTGAGTTCTGTGATTTATTTTTCGATAAAAGAAATGGGTTTTACTTACAATCTATTCCAGAATAAAAATCAAATTTCCGATGCCTTATTTCACATTTCACATCATTTCAGAAATATTTTTGCTGCCAGCTTTAAAAAAATTATTCTTCGTTTGAATTAATGATATATTTTTTTTTAATTTTACAGAACATTTTGCCGTTTGCCAAGTCATCTATAAATGTCCTCTTACTCACCATTAATCTCCCTCCTCTATTTTAATCTAGCTGCGTTTGTCTGCACATCTTTATGTTGT